GTTGAGGTATCTATACGTATTCCTGACAAATGCTATGTTATTTGCAATTTATGATTATGTCTTTGTAGCGAAGATCTTTGTTCGTTTTTATATGTTAAAACCAAAATGTGCCTTTGTTTTCACAGATTAATAATGTTGGGACTAATATAAGGAAACCAATGGTAGAGTTCACAGCTGAAGAAGTTTCAACTCTTTTGGCAACCAATTTTGAATCTGTTTTCAACTTATGCCAACTTGCTTATCCACTTCTCAAAGCATCAGGAGTAGGAAGTGTTGTATTCACATCCTCTGTGTCTGGATTTGTTTCACTCAAGTCCATGTCGCTTCAAGGAGCAACTAAAGGTGAATATATATTTGAGAAAATTTTCATTGAATGCTGCTATGCAGTGGGAATTTGTAGAAGCAATTGGTTATTCCTTTTGTTTACTAGGGTGGTGGGGTGTGTTTTGACTTGTAGGAGCTATCAATCAACTTGCAAGAAATTTGGCTTGTGAGTGGGCAAAGTATAATATAAGGAGTAATGCTGTTGCACCTTGGCACATTAGAACCTCCATGGTAGAGCAAGTAATTTTCTTTACACTCTAAATCTTGTTTATAGTTTGCACTGAATCTGATTGTATTTTTACAGTGATGCTGGATTATGGTAGTGATATGCAATGACTTTGATTCTCTGGCATAATATAATACATGCTTTTTTCCCTATTTAACATAGTACCAAGTATTTTGGTTATAGAGATTCTGAGAATAATTAAGACGTATTCTTTGTTGTTAGTGTTTTTTTCAGTATAAGCATTCATTCAGAGGTTTTCTTCATTATTATCAAGTAGCTTCTGAGTACTAACAGTTAAAGATCCTGAATCTTATAAATCTTCAAATTTCAAAATGAGCTCCAGGCTGAAGCTCCTTTGAAGATTTCTTTAGAACCTACCCTTCAAACTACCTTTTACACGACATTATCAAACATGGATCAATGATGTGGGATATACAGAGCATAAAGTCTGATTTGTGAATGTTATACGTCAACAGCATCTGCTCGATCAATGTGATTTCATAATCAAAATTGATGCTGTTCACACTAAGCATTGTCACATCTAATTATAATCGTCCTCTCTCTGTTTCTCATTCACTAACTCGTTAATTTACACTCACATGGACCGTTGCATTTAAGAGTACAAATATTTGTATCTAGTAAATGTACTTTGAACCTGGTTGGGGTAATCTTACATTTTGTTGATCTCACTAATTATTTTCCAGGTACTCAGCAACCAAGAATATTTAGAAGAGGTGTATTCTCGAACTCCTCTACAGCGTCTTGGTGACCCAACTGAGGTTTCATCCTTGGTGGCATTCCTTTGCCTGCCTGCATCATCTTACATAACTGGTCAGATTATCTGTGTTGATGGCGGCATGTCTGTAAATGGTTTCTACCCCAAAAATTACTAGAAACCTTCAGTTAGTCAATCATGTCTTGTTTGTCTCTCTGTCCTTTCCTATTTTACAGCAAGCCAAACACTGTTAAAATTAAAAAGTTTCAGATTATCCTGATTTTCACCGGATTTTGTTGGCTGTCCCCTGCTCATTCTTTCATATTTGAACAAGAACTTCTCCCCTCCTAAATTGTTTTTATGCTATTTAGTGGTTGGCTTTCCTTAGCTTATCTTTTGTTTTTCTTTCAATGGTCTGTGATGATGGGGCTGGCAGCATTTCCGTCACTGTTCTCATTTGGATTATAGTCATTATTCTCTAATCACGATGACATGGCTATGAGTTCTTTGAGAATTCTGTCATGGAAATAGCTACTTTTTATATATTGTTTAGCTCCTTTAGCCAGCCTGGAAAGGAGATACTTCCCATGTTTGCATTTGTGTCTTAGTTTATTAACTCTAGTTTTGTCTCCATTTCTTGGTATTGAACTCTTATCTACCTGCTCTCTCTTGTTATCTATTTCCCTGCACTTTGAGGTTTTGCTGGTTTATGATTAACTGATTGTAACTTTCGCAGTGTTTTTTGTATATGGAGTAATTTCTATGGTGGTTGTGAATAAATTGAAGAGTGAATAGCAACAGTAGAAAGCCGTCTTTCTTTTCATTGTCCCCCCTGTTCTTCTCTTTAAGTCTGAATTATGGTCAAAGTTGTACATATGCATCAAAAGTCTCTCAAATCTTATCTATGCCTTGAATCTCCCATACAGATTCATCTTTAGCCAACTGAGCTGGTGAGATCAACGTACAAGTTCTTGATCAGCAGCAGTCTCTACTATTTGGCACATACGTTAAAGGTTACAAACGATTGATACTATTATCGTATGAAAGGTTACATAAGTAACGTCAAATATCTGATCAGAACAGGAAACTTCAGTACCTCGCCTGTTAAACTGCTATTTGATTGCTGCTCCGTTTATATTAATTTTTTAACTACGATTTGGGAGAAACTATTATTTCACACTCAAATAAATGGTTTGAAGTTCAGATATCGAGAAATTTTAGGTTTCCTGCAATCTTTCTGAAAGGAAAAAGTGTGGTTTCGGGTATATCAGTTGTAACTTGAAGAAAGAACGTTCTTTACAGGGGGCTAGCTGTCTATTAATGGAATTTACTATATAAAATGAGAGAAAAGAGAGAAAAAATGAAAAACGAGAGAAAAGAGTGCTAAGAGAAAAGTTTGTAACGTGAGAAATTTGCAAGTCATGTTAAAAACTAATCCTGTAATATTTAAAAATAAAAAATATAATAATTAAATTACGTAATACTTAAAAATTAATCTTGTAATACTTAAAAATCAGTGAAACAATACCTAAAAGTCAATAATGTCTAATAATTAATTGATTTGCTTGTTTGCAGTTAGATTTAAATTACCAAAGTCATACAATGTTTTAATTTTTATATATATCTAATTAATTTCAACTCCTCAACTTTGAAGTTCTATGAATCAACCAATAAATCTAAAAATCTAAAACACATATTTTGATGTCATCTCTACTTTTTAGAATGATGAGAAAGAGCTGGATGGTGAGATAGTATTTGAAAAGAGAAAAATCAAGATTTAATTTTAAAATTTTTGTTTAAATGACGAGTTAAAAAAATCTAAAATTATTTTAATTTGTTTAAAATTATTTAAAAAGTATTGTTGTCAAGTCATATTAAAAATTAATTAAAAATAATTAAAATTATAATAAAGAATATTTTTGAATAAAGTTTATAAAGATGGTTAAGCTCTTGACCAGAGAGTGAAAGAGAGAGAGAGAGAGAGTTGTCATGGCAAGGGATGGAACTTCAAGCTGTAGAGACAGCCAATGGTCTCTCAAAGGAGCAACTGCCCTTGTTACTGGTGGAACAAAAGGAATTGGGTAATGGCCACTTTCCTTCTCTAGTGCCTCTGTAGTCATGAGATTGCTCTTTCAGTTAATATCTGTTGCTCCAATATGTCGTATAAAATTATGCTTTAGGCATGCTGTTGTGGAAGAGTTGGCGGCGCTGGGGGCAACAGTATATACGTGCTCGCGCAACGAAGATCAGCTGAATGAATGCTTGAAAGAATGGAGGATGAAAGGTTTACAAGTTGCTGGTTCAGTCTGTGATGTAGCCTCTCCAGCTGCAAGGGAAAGGCTGATGAACAAAGTTTCCTCTCTCTTTACTGGGAAACTCAACATCCTTGTAAGTCAACTTCTTCCTAAGGTTAACTCATCATCTCTTCTCTGTGAAATTTTCAAGTGTAAACACAGGATGGTAGGAAGCACGCATAGATTAACTCAACTAGTCATTGCTTTTAGAGATAGTCGTCTGATCCTGTGACCAGCGACCCTCGGTTTGGGAAGCACGTGAGTTCTGACTTGCCAGACCATAACAAAATTGTTGAAATTGAATCTTTGAAAAATTACTGGCTGGAGTAGTTATCTATAATCTCCTGCCTTTTCCTGTTTATTTTCCTAGGGATACTAACTCTTCTTTACATTGAAAACTGAATAAAATATGGTAAAGAAATGGAACACATTCACAAGGTGGAAGAGTGGTTGAGTATTGATGATTTGAACAAGAATCCCACTTTACTTTGAAGAGCATTTTCATTTTACTTGAGTCAGGTCAAGGATTTTGAATTCAGAAAACAGAGAATGGTCACATGGTTGAAATTAATCATGAAAGGATATAATCCTTAACTGAGCAAATTGAAGAGAAAGGATTAAGACTAATACCTACTCTGATATCATTTTAAAATTTTAAAATTAATTTTTAATGTAAAACCAATAGACAACAAGTAGGCAGATCTTTATTACATTTATATACATTAAATATCTCTAATTTAATATATGTGAGATTTTTTTATAACTACTACCATACAGCTGTCCTCACATGTAAAGATTTCGGATCTCCCACGTGAGAAAAATCAAAGGAAAACATAAAGAATGAAAGCAATGCCTGTTTCTGTATCATATTAAATTTCTAAGATGAACTTTTAATTTAAAATTAATTGATAATAAATGGGGCGACCTTTATACTGATGCATCTAAAATATTTTTAACTTATTATCAGCAATTTAATAGAATTGTTGTGTAAATTTTTTTTTTTTGGTTATAGATAAACAATGTGGGGACGAACACTTGGAAACCGACCATGGATTACACGGCCGAAGAATTGTCAACTATGATGACTACCAATTTTGAATCCGCTTTCCATTTCTGCCAATTTGCTTATCCCCTTCTCGAGGCATCAGGAGCTGGATGCATTGTTTTTGTTTCTTCTGTTGCTGGTGTGCTCTCACTCAATATTGGATCTATCTATGGAGCAACTAAAGGTGCTTCGAAAGAAAAACTAAATCTTAGTAATCATGAATTTTAATGCTGTTTAATTAGTTAAGTGTAAATTGTGGTCAAATTTCTTTACACAGGAGCAATGAATCAACTGACTATGAATTTGGCATGTGAGTGGGCAAAAGACAATATCAGGAGCAATTGTGTTGCACCTTATTTCATTAGAACCCAACTTGTTGAGCCAGTAACATCTCTTCACCATGCTTTTCTCTTGCATTAATAAATATATTTAAACCGTGATGTTGAATTCCTTCCATTTTTCCTTGTCAGGTTCTCAGTAGCAAAGAATTTCTGGCAGCTCTGAACTCTCGAACCCCTCTCGGTCGCCCTGGACAGCCCAAAGAGGTTGCCCATTTGGTAGCATTCCTATGCCTTCCAGCAGCCTCTTACATAACTGGGCAAATTATTTGTGTTGATGGTGGGGTGACAGCAAATGGGTTCTTCTTCCCAAGAGCAAGACTTTGAAGAAGAACAAAGAGAAACACTGTTTCTTTTCTTTCGTTTTCTAGATGGGTGTAGGATTTAATTTGACCACAAAACCTGGAGTTTTAATAAGCGATTTCTATTTTCGTTGTCCTATTTAAGACATTAATATTCAATCATATTTGTGTAGGTGTAACCATTTATTCTTTACTTTCTCAGTCTTTGATTTTGCCCGAGAGTCATACAAAGCAAGTAGATGTTTGGCTTCCCCTTGTGACTTGTTCTTCATCGAGGGCTTGATAAATGTCATGGGAACTTAATTTCTAGTCCTTGGGCTTCAAGACAAACATCTTGTCATGCTAGACTTTTTCCCTAAAAAGGAAAAATCCAACAGATGATTATGAATTGTGATGAACAGCTTTGAACGAGCAGGAGTTTTTCTTCCCAATTGAATGGAAAGACCAGCAAATTTTCTTGTACGACCAAAATTTGCATTCTGGCATGCTTTTCTTAGTTCTTGTAGGTGAAGTAAACTGGTATATATTAAACTTATCTGGCTTAAATGTTCTACAAAAAAACCCAAACCCTTATTTCTCTCATTTTTTCAAGACAAAAAAGATAGACATTACAAAAAAATTGAGTTTTAATCACACTTTTTTATGCGACTTATTTTTTTATACAGTAAAATTTTAAAAAGTTTTACTATTTAAACATTTAGCTTCACTTTTTTCACATTTAGTAACACTATAAAAAAGTGCAACCTTATTAATGTATGTAATTTTTATCATTATATTTTATTCATAATGCATTTAAAAATTTATATAGTGAGGTTAGATCTTCAAAAATGATCTAAAAAACATAAAAATGTTATTAAGAAATAAAGTAGGGTTAGTGTAAACTTCTCTTTTAACATTTAGCAATCACCTATCTTTTTGACTAAGAAACAAAAGCAAAACAGAGGAATTTCATAAGCATCTTTTGTGTAAAATCTATTATTTTCAAGATCAAGTTTGAAAAATGAAAATTAAATTTTATTATTGAATTCATCCTCAGGAAGGGAGGAAAAGTTCTCTATTTATTGGAAAAAAGTATGCTGTTGAGTTGCAAGAATTTATAGTTAAAATTTATGGCATGTTCTTCATGAGTCGGCTGAGTTTGGGTCATTTGATTTTGTTTTTATCGTTCATTTAAAATTAAAGTATGATTATATGCTAAGTTTAGAGGCCGGTAAGGGAAGATTTCAAATCAAATGGGTTTGTAAGGACTGGACTGGGAAAGTAAACTAGGCAAACTAAACATTTTCAGAAACAAAAACTTGAAGCAAGAAGGCATACTTGAATTCTATCTAGAAGAGGTAAGTCTTCAAAGACAATTTTCTTTTCACGATTTTTGCTTTACAAGAGTCAAGTGTTGAACGTTTGGAATTTGACAGTTGGTTCTTAATTTGCATCTGGTATCTGTAAATAGTATATTTAGTCTTCCTAACATAGTAAGAGAGGAAGATAGAAAGACGATGGGAAGGAAAATGGCTGAGGCAGAGAGCAGCAAGAAGAACGACAACAGATGGTATGCCATTGTGGTGGAATTGGCAGCGTTCGGGTTGCGCCAGGGTTGATTAGAACCCCTGTTACCAAAGCTGTAACAAGATCAAGTTTCTTATTAATGTGCCATTTACATGTACGCATAAATTAATCCATCAGTGAAAAATTCTAGATCAGGCAAATTTAATCTCAAACTTTGCTCCTCTCCCTTGCAGGCTTTCGAAGAAGAAAAAATGTCTGAAATCTGTAATCTCAAGAACTCCTTTGGGACGGATTGGAGAGCCTAAAGAAGTGTCTTCCTTGGTGGCATTCCTATGCCAATCGGTAGGCTCTTACATAACAGGACGGATTATTTGTGTTGATGGAAGCGTGACGTGAATGGCTTCAACTTCCCATATGCATGAAAAGCATTGCAAGGCTGATCATCTACTTGCTGAATTATTGTCCAGGGACAAATTCTCTTTTTTCCCATTAAAAATGCCTGTACAATTATGGCAAAACAAAATCCTTAGGGGGCATGTGATTACAGCTAAGACATTGAAAGCGTCTTTGAATTTCTTTTTTTTCTCTCTCTTCTATTATTTTTAAGCTACGGAATGTATTGTATATTTGCATTCATCTTTTCTAATTATTTTTTTTCAAAAAGATCTTCTCCCTCAAAAAATACTCGTCTTTCTCTCCCTATCGATCTCCCTCTCCTCTCTTCCTTTCTGTAAAACATCATTCTAAGATTTTTTTTTCTTACAAAAATTAAGAAAAAAGAAGATTCAAAATTCAAAATTGCATTCATGTATTATTTTTTTTTCTATTTTGTTTTCTATTTTATTTTTTTATCTTTTTTTGAACTTTGAAAACTCTCTTTTATTAGTTGATATTTTTCAGTTTATTGTTTCATATGACAATTATGTGATGTTTATTTATTCTAAACTTCTTTATGGTGTATATAATATTTGATTATTATGAATGAAATAATTAATTAAATAGGTCAATGGTTGTTGAGATAAATTAAATGAAAATTGAAATAATATTTGTTGATTATAGTTATTCAGATAATATTGTTCATGGAAGTGAACTTTATTGTAAGGCCATCAATAGCTAAACGTGATTTTCTTGAATTATTACTACCATCCTAGATTTCTCTTTTTCTTTTATGGGTTCTCCTCCATTGTTAGGGTTAAAGGTTTTAGTAGTCGACTGACTGCTTTCTTTCATCTCTCATTTTTTTAATTGGATTTAATTTTTCTCTTGATTTTATTTATTATTATTTAATAAAAAATTATTTATGAATTATGTGTTACTTATAAATTATTTGTTGAACTCTTTTTTTTATAATTTATTATTAATTATAAACTTTATGTTATATACAAATTCTTTTTATATTTTCAAAATTTTATTTTAAATAGATAAAAAATACAGTTATTTTTTTATTTTGACCAAAGAAATTTGTGATTAATAAAAAGTTATTTTTTAAATACCTTTTATGGTAATTTTCACTAAAGTTAGAGTTTACATAAGTTATTTTGTCAAACAACTTATCTATAAAAAAGAGCTTATAAAAAGTAAATTTACCAAACAACTTTAATTTAATTTTAAAAGTTATTATTTTTTATAAGAGCTTGACAATAGCTTTTAAGTTAAAAAAAAAAAAACTAGGCCAAACATGCTCGCCAAGGTCTTTTTTAGAAAAAATCTTGAATTATTCAAAAAATTTAAATAATTAAGTTTTTATTCTTTCATTATGTTCAATTAAGTTTTTATTTTTTTATTTTGAGTCAACTAATTATTATTAGTCAAAATATCACCTTTCATTCTATGTCATAATAAATAATAATATAACACATTTTTATCCTTTACACCAATGCCATGTCAGTATCATGTGAATAAAAAATAATAAGTGACATTTTGATTAATAATAATTATAAGTTAATCATTAGCTATAAGGATCTATTTGATTAAAAATAAAAATAAAAAGATTTAATTAATTGAAATAAAAGAATTAAGACTTATTTGAGAATAAAGAAATTGAACTTACATGTACAAATTGAAAACACGAAAATTTGAAATGATGATTAAGATTTTGTCTTTTTGAATGATTGAGTTCCGTGTGTATTATATTCCTCTATTTTCGATATGAAACAATTATATTGATCACAAGTGCACCATCAAGGACGAAATTAGAAAAGAAATTTTGGGACGAAAGTCTTGTATAAAGTTATAGATTCAACGAACAAATAATTGGAGACAATAAGCACAAACAAAAGACAAATTACAACATCAATAATTGTCAGTTATTTAAGATGAGTCTATGGTGATTTATTCTTTCAGACATTAATTGTCAATCACATTTGTTTGGCTACTCATTTATTCTTTGCTTCTCACTCTTTCTTTTTACTCGAGAGTCATACATATATTATGTATATATTGGCTCAATCAAAAAGTTTCATTAATCATAGAATAGGAACAGCAACTGCAGCAAAAGATGAATAAATATTTGTTGCTGGAGGAAGAAAATAAAAGATATACGGAAAATAAATTATTCCGTCTTTGAACTCTAGTAATAAATCATTGTGGGATCCTATAAATGCCAGATTCTATTTTCTTTCTCTTAAGGACCCCAGATTTTCTTCTTGAAATGGGCAGGACCTCATCTCTAATCCTTCAAAGAAGACAAAAAGGACCAGAAACAAGAAAATATCTAATATGTATTTTGTCCATATTGAAATAAAAGAAGCCCAATCTTTTAACCCTCCGAAGGAAGGATAATGCTATTTCAACAATTACTGATGTTATCGTTTCCCTTTTATTTGTGCTTATTGCATTCAAGTTTTAATCTTTACTGATAGGACTTATATTTATGAAATTAAAAATTATTGTAAATTCTATGATAAAATGATTGAGAATAATAAGTACAAATAAAAGGGAAAAGATAACATCAATAATTGTTGAAATATCATTACCTTTCTTTTGTCTCCACTTGATTTCGTTCAAACTTTTAGCCACAAAGAGCAGCCGAGAGAAGGCTATCCATAAACACAATAATTCTCAGTTTGGCAGGCAAGAGATCAAGGGAAGAGGAGATGGCTGATCAGGCAACTGCAGCTCATAGCAGTAGCAGGAAAAACAGATGGTCACTTCATGCCATGACTGCTCTTGTTACTGGTGGAACCAAAGGAATCGGGTCACCTCTCTCGCTCTCTCTCTTTATTTTTTCTTTTGCTCTTACCTTGTTGCATGTGACTCCTTTTTTTCATATTATATATGTATTAGTATGATTTTCTGATCAAATCCACTGATTTCATAATTACATAGTTTTAGGGTATTATAAATAATTTATCTTTATCTATATTTGTTAATACACGTGAATTGAACCATTAAATATGGAAATTAACATCTTAACCTCAATTCTAATAAAGAGAGTCATTAGCTAAAGATTATATATATATATATATATATATATGTTAAAGATTACCGAGAAAAAAAAATTAAGATTAAGTTGTGCAAGTGACTATACACTAGTAAACCCAAACATAGATATTCCTTTTTTTTTATTTTGTATTTATTTTAATTAAGATATAATATTTAAAAAAGTTTTAAAACTACTTAGAAAAATTTAAATAAGTTTTTATTATTTTATTACGTTAAATCAAATTTTTATAATTTTATTTCGAATTAAATTCACCTTTATGATTAATAGTTGACTAAGTCAACATGCTATCAATATGATATGTTGAAATGTTATAATTGATGATGATGATGTAACAAATTAACATATTAAAATTGAAGATGACATGACGTGTTAATGTGGTGTGGTGACATGTTCATGTGACATTTTTTGCTTTCTATATTAACATCACGTTAGTGTCATATGAATATAAAATGATAAGTGATATTTTGGTTAATAAAAATTAATCAAACTATTTGTTATTAGGGCTAATTTAACTTAAAATAAAAATATACAAGCTTAATTTAACATAATAAAAGAATAAAGATTTATTTAAATTTTTTTTAACTAGTTTAAGAGTTCTTTTCGAACTTTATGTTTTTAATTAATGAGTGTTAAGTACAATTTACGAAACAGCTTTTGTACTGCAAAAGTACAAGCAAAGTTTGGTTCTCACAATTTTAGATCAAATTTTTTTTATTTCTTGTTAAAAATAAATTCTTTTGTACTAATTTATGCCACATGATAAAAAATAAAGTTTAAATTGACATGTTACAATTAAAAAAAAAGAGTTCATTTGATAACCGGTTATTGCAACTATTGCATGACTTTTTTTACCACATGGCACAAATTAGTTAAGAAAAAAAATTTTTGGGATAGTTAACCAACACAAATGAGACTGGAGTTGATCATGTGATTCCATTTTATCTAACTCTAGAGGAAATTGATTAAAGGCTTATGTTACGATATATCAATGCTGATCTGAAGAGATCAAATACTTTTCCTCCTTGGAACTTGGTAAAATAGAGCATCTGTTTGAATGATCACAAATTAATACTGTGATCAGGTATGCTATCGTAGATGAATTAGCTGCACTGGGAGCAAGAATACACACCTGCTCACGAAATGAAACTGATCTCAACAAATGCTTACTTGATTGGGACGCAAAGGGTTTCCAGGTTACTGGTTCAGTCTGTGATGTATCATCTCAGGCCCAAAGGGAGAAGCTAATAAACACTGTCTCCTCTGAATTTGGTGGAAAACTTAACATCCTGGTTAGTAAACATCCATTCTCATTCTTTCTTTTTTCTGGTAACTCTCATTCTGCATATTGTCCCGACTCCTGAGTTCTGCTAATGAGACGACATTTGTGGTTGCTATAATGCCAAACTGGTATCCTCAAAT